CTAAACCCACAAGGATCAAACTGCAGCAAAAAAAAATCTATCCTGATTTGTCACATGAAGCCTGATTATACATGCTAGAACTATAAATAATTTTCTAGAATTGCCTTCCTGAAATGCTCTGCCTAACAATGGTTAGCACTAACTAACCATACAAATTATAAAACCATTCAGTGTAATCTCAATGAATTCTAAGGAAATATTTTATTTTTATAGGGATCTCTTTCCCTGTTCAAGTGATGGATTTAGGGTCCATCAATAAATATTACACAGGAATAAGTAAACTTCCTGCTATAAAATATAAAAACATGGCCTTAAAACCTCAAGCTATACTAGAATACAGTATACAGCCTCTCTTCACTTAACAACGTAGTTATGTTCCTAAGACTACATCATTAAATAAATTTGTAACTAAGTTAGGAGCATACTATAATGATAGTGGGTTTGTGTCAACCATCTTTGATATTGTTGTAATGTCACCTTTGCACCATTTACAACATTTCTGGTATATTTTTAAATGTTTATACAGTAGTGTACTGTATAGTGAAATACATGTAAATAGAAAAGAGAAAATCAGTTCTAATATACATTATTTAGGTATAAATACTAGTCAGATCCTGTTGTAAGTCTGAGGCGTCGGTAAACGAGTATGTTGCTAAGTGAAGAGAGGCTGTACTGTTTATTAGCTGGGCTGTAGCAATCTTAACCCTTTCAGGGTCAACAGGCCCTCTCAGAGACTTGTTCTCAGGGTCAGCCAAATTTCAAAAAAAAAAAAAAAAAAATTATTTTTTCTTGTGAAAAGATAGAGAATCTTTTCCCGATCATAATGACACCAAAAATATGAAATTTGATGGAAAACTTACGGAATTATGCTCTCGCGAAGTTAGCGGTCTCGGCGATGTTTACGCATCGGCAACTTTGCCCACTTTGAGCCCTATTTTCGGCCAATTCCAGTATACTTGTTGACAAAAATTATAACTATTTCGCTAGAACTCCATTTTTTCTATCGAATGAGTACAAGAAACCACCCATTTACCGATTTCAACTATCCAATACAGTGATCAGAATTTAGCAATTTTGCCAATTTCACACAAATTTCAAAAGATGCCAATTTCCAAATAGGGTCCAGAATAAACAAGAAAGACATTCCCGGCACTAAAATAACATTTCTCCTGTTCATTAGTCACATCCCCATGCCCCTCTTACATTCTTTTGCTTTCCACTTTGAATTTTTATTCTCACAAAATATGGAAGATTTACTGTTATGCAGACTACTGCATTAGTGTAGAAATGGTTTAAATAATATCGGCACACTTGTAAAAGAATATTAGACTCACCAGTTGACGGGTATTGGACGCATAGCATGATTTGTTTACTTTTGAACTTTGGTAAAAATCGAACATTTCTGCTACTTTGAGCTCAATTTCAAGGTACTTTTCTTTGTAAAACCAGTCAAAATCATCTCAATTTCTGTAATATGTCTTCCATTCTATAAAATGAGACCAGGAAAACTAGAATACAACAATAAATACCATACGAAAATACAGTGCAAAATCGCTGTTTTAATCCAAAAACGCAGTCAAAGTTTTTTTTTCTCATTACGCACTGTGTGCTGCAGGATTTTTTTTATACCACGCACACTGACCACATAGACCCATTCTTTCATATGTAGGCCTACCAGCTTTCTTTCACTAGATTTGAGGGCGCTAGAATTTAGGCGTACTAGTACGTCAAAAACCCTGGCTCGTAAGCCGTACTAGTACGGCCGAAACCCTGAAAGGGTTAATAATATACTGCAATTAAAATTAAAAAAAAGGATAATAATTTATCCTAGGCAGTAGGTTGGTAAACAGCAATTGCCAAGAGAGGTACTACCATCCTGCCAAGTGAGTGTAAAACAAAAGCCTGTAATTGTTTTGCAAGATGGTACGATTGCTGGTGTATTTTTTCTGTCTCATAAACATGCAAGATTTCATGTACGTCTTTCTACTTCTACTTGCACTTAGGTCATACTACACATGCATGTACAAGCATATAAATGCACACCCCTCTGGGTTTTCTTCTATTTTCTTACTAGTTCTTGTTCTAGTTTATTTCCTCTTATTTCCATGGGGAAGTGGAACAGAATTCTTCCTCCGTAAGCCATGTGTGTCTTAAAAGGCGACTAAAATGCCGGAAGCAAGGGGCTAGTAACCCCTTCTGTATATATTACTAAAATTAAAAAAAAAAAAAGAAACTTGTTTTCCTTTTCTGGGCCACCCTGCTAGGTCATTTGTATTTATATGAGTACAATGACATTTACTACAATTCTATCACAATAAGAACTTTTATCAAAACAATCCACATATGCACCTAGAGAAATATATTTTAGTTTTGACATGAAATTCATGATAATTGGAATTTTTCAAATGATTTTCTAGTGGCCATATTGCCTAATATTTTAATAAATAAAAATTATAATAACTGACATTAAATTGACAGTTTTTCAGTCTTCATCTCTCAATATAAATCTTTTGGTGCATCAAATTAAAATAAAATTTTGGAAAGAATTTGAAAGTTGCTGCTACAATTTGACCAGTACCTCAAGTTACCTGATGAGCTGTTGGAGTATGAGCAGAGTAATATTTTGTGAAGGGATTCAGGGAAACCAGTTAGCCAGACTTGAATCCTGGTAATGGGAAGTACAATGCCTGCACTTTAAAGGAGAGGTTTAGGATATTGGCAGTTTGGAGGAATGTCTAAACTGTCATATCTGAGCGCCTCTGCAAAAACAGTGATTATGTATGAGTGATGGTGGAAGTGATGAATGATGATGAAAGTTTTTTCTTTCTTTTTGGGTCACCCTGCCTCGGTGGGAAACGGCCAACGTGTTAAAAAAAAAAATCTGGAAAGATAACTAGAGCACCCTACCTAGATGCAAAATGACCAACATGTGTATATTTTAAGTTACATTATGATGGTGAAAGTGCAGAATGATGGTAAAAGTCTTTCTTTCTTTTTTCAGGTCACCCTGCCTCAGTGGGAGACTTCTTATGTGTTAAAAAAAATAATAAGATTACGTGGATTAAAATAAGGGTTGGATGTGAAAAGTGGGTCATAATAAGTGTGCATGCACCTAGAGAAGATAGGAGTGTAGAAGAGGAGAGAGAGAGAAGAGAGAGAGATTTAGGAGAGGTTAAGCGAGTGTGTAGGAACTTTTGAACCAAGTGAGAGAGTAATTGTGGTAGGGGACCTAAATGCTAAAGTAGGAGAAACATTTAAAGAGGGTGTGGTAGGTTGAGTTTGGGGTGCCAGGTGTAAATAATAATGAGGGCCTTTTTGATTGAACTTTGTATAGAAAGGAGTTTGGTTATAGGTCATACATATTTTAGGAAAAAGAGGATAAATAAGAATACAAGATATGATGTAGGGCATAATGACAGTAGTTTGTTGGACTATGTATCGGTAGATAAAAGACTGTCGGGTAGACTTCAAGATGTCCGTGTTTATAGAGGGGCCACAGATGTATTAGATCACTTTTTAGTTGTAGCTACAGTGAGAGTCAACGGTAGATGGGATACAAGGAAAATGGAAGCAGCAGATAAGAGAGAAGTGAAGGTTTATAAGCTAAAGGAGGAAGCAGTTAGGGTAAGATATAAACAACTTTTGGAGGATAGATGGGCTAGTGAGAGTATAAGCAATGGGGTTGAAGATGTATGGGGTAGGTTTAAGAATGTAGTGTTAGAGTGTTCAGCAGAAGTTTGTGGCTACAGGAAAGTGGATGCAGGCAGGGAAGAAGAGCGATTGGTGGAATGATGATGTAAAGAGATTAGTAAGAGAGAAAAAGTCAGCATATGAGAGGATTTTACAAAGTAGAAGTGATGCAAGAAGACAGTATATGGAGAGGAAAAGAGAGGTTAAGAGAGTGGTGAAGCAATGTAAAAAGAGAGCAAATGAGAGAGTAGGTGATTTGTTATCAACAGGTTTTGCTAAAAATAAGAAAAAGTTTTGGAGTGAGATTAATAAATTGAGGAAGCCTAGGGAACGAATGGATTTGGCAGCTAAAAGTAGGAGAGGCGGGTTATTAAATGGAGAGTTAGAGGTATCAGGAAGATGGAGGAATATTTTGTGGAATTGTTAAATGTTTTACTGGATTAAATTTTCACCAGTATCTGATTTCTGAAGTCACTCTAGTCTGTGAAGATCATAGTAAGCAATAAATAATGCAAGATAAATTTTTAGTTTGTGAACATTTTATGGGATGAATTGACTGCTGCTTCTCAAGAGGTAGCATAATGCACTGAAAATAATTGGAAGTGTGCATTTTTTTCATAAGAGGAGCCATAAGAAAGATTAAGAATAAGAAATGGCACTGGTCACTGCACACTTTTAAATTTCCACTTTAGCATACATATCACACAGTGTTAAGTACAAGCACATCCAATTCTACATATATAAAGTTTACTAATGCAGCATTATCACTATCTGTGAAGTCAGCAGTTTCTGTTACATGACACTTTAATAAAAATTAAGTTAGCACTGCTATTATATACACCAAGGTAACTCTATTCCCATTTCAAAGATGTGTATACTACTCTCACCTGACAAATGTTGTATCTCTTTTTTTTTTTTCTAGAATTGTTAAATGACAAAGAAGCCTATACACCTTATGAATAAATTGTACTTTCTTGTATAGTACCATTGCATTCTAAAGGAGTCCATAGCTGCTTTTGTCAGTCCACAAGATGTATATTCAGTCCCATAAATAAAGATTGGTGGGATATTGTGTCTAACGTATACATCAAGTTCGTTATTATGTCAACACCTAAGACCAGGTTAAACATTCTTCACTGGGAAGGTGTTTCCTCTCAGCACTCTGGGAAACAGTATAAACAATGATAAAACACTAATCTTTGAGTGACAACTTCCTAGAAATTACCAGTACAATCATGAGGACTAAATAAATTACATTAACAATATTTTTTTTTTAAATTGAGCATTTTAAAGTAATTGAAAGACTAGAGTGTTGATATTTAAATTATATTTTATTACTAAATTTACCTTTTTTTTAATCTGCTTCATACAACTGTCTTTAAGGTGAACTCTGATCCTACTGGTGCAGCACTTTGAATTATGTGTAAATTTCTCAGTTAATAAGGTTAAGCAGCATTGGCTCTAGCCAGTAACTTGATGGTTAGCCATATGGATACAGCCTCTCCTTTCATTTTGGATACCTCAAAAATCCACAGGTTTATTATCCCCAAAAGGTTATCCAAATATCCTTATGATATAATGGTGTCTTCCAGCAGAGTTTGTGACCATCAATTCTTAGAATAATGGACAACAGATTGGTCAATATCAGCAGCATACACAAATTCACTCACTGCAGACTCAAATCACACTCACTTTCTACAATATAAAATCTGAGAACAATAGTGTATAGTAATGTGCTGTAATATGTATAAAAATATAAACTACCATGCATCAATTTAATTAAAAATTTATGGTAGTTAAACTTTATTACTGATAGGCTCCTTATTGAATATATACTTTTATCCAAATTATAAAAAATCTTTCTGAGAATCTCTCTTGTTTACAAATTACTTTAACAATATAATCTCTGTAACATATATAACAAGCAACAAATGACAGAATTCCCATGACATAAGCCCTTTCCTGTTGCTACTTAACCTATAATTGCATTTCTTTGGCAAAAATATGCTAAGGCCTTGTTTTAAAATTTATTATAAATTTCTGATATTTAAAATCTAAAAAAAAAAAAAAAAAAAAAAAAAAAAAGGTGCTAAACAAGCTTATCTATACAAGCACATTCAAGTTGTGTAGTTGCAGGCACAGCATCACAGAAGTTAGAATTTTAAGCAATTCCACTTAACTACATTTTGAGTTAATTTTGCATATAAATAAAGCTCATGTAACCTTCCACAGATCCCTCACATTACACTGTTAATAAATATCAGATGATCTATTAATATAAAACTCCCACATGACCAGTTACAGTAAAGTGTTCACTTTTCCTGTTTCTATCTTGTTCACTAAATGTTCCAAAATATATATTAATTAAAGCCATGTTGACTTTCTTTGCCACAAATTATCAGAGGAAAATTATTAAATTTAAGCTAAAATTATTCCATATTCTGGGGTCCTGATACTCTAGACTTATAAACATTGACAACTACACTTCTCTCAGCTCAAAAATGTGTGAGCCACACCACTGGAATATCATTTTTAGCTACTAGAGAGATATAGAGAGTGAGAGATATAAAGATAGATGCATAGATACAGATACAGATAGATTAACCAGTCCCTTCAAGAGAGAAGGAGATTATCCAGCCCCTTTAGGAGAGAGGGAGATTATCCAGCCTTTTTTTGGAGAGATAAACCAGCTCCTTCAGATAATACAGATTAGCCAGCCTCTTAGGGATAAACAGTACACTGGATTTTCAACAACACTAGATGATCACATCAGCTTTTCATGCTCTCTATTTGTACATTTCCTTATCGCATTATCCGTTTAGGTGCCGAACAGAGCAAGACAGTAGGATAATGGTGGGAGCCAATGAACATTTGAATCCAAATAACCAGTCACTAGATAATCTACAATCTTCTATATACAATACATGGTATATTATTTACAAGGAAGAGAGTTATGCATTGAATGAGTAAGGCAAAGAAAGTCTCTATAATTTTATAATTGAAAAATATTATTACTAAATATAATCAGTTATCTAAAAAACTGAAAATAAAGTGTTTGGAGACATGATAAGGAACAATAGTGAATACTCTACTGTGTGTAACATTTATGCAAGCAATGTACCTTTTCAAGATTGCTGCTTATACCAGGATACAGCAGCTTAGTAGCTGCATGAATTAACCTAAACATTGACTGAACAAACAATATGTCTAAAAATAAATATTTAGATAAGGTACATCAATATCAAATAAAAGGGAGATGCAATGCATTTTGTTTCCTTTCCATATCTTCTAGTTTATGCTGGCACTCATCACTTTGAGGAAATGGCATTTTGCATAATTTTTCAAATACTGTACTAACAGCTTAAATCAGAATGAATTTTGAAATTTATGTAGTAAAAAATTTCAAATACATAAGGCAGACACTAATCTTGAAGCACCCCATTAGTTAGCAATCTGGGTGTGTTGATATTCCACTTAAATCATGAGATTAGAGAGTGAGGCTGAGCTCTGTCTGGACCTTCCTGGAGATGGAGGAGCAGATGATTTTCTTGAGCGTCCAGGTGAGGACGGTGCGGAAGAGCGAGGAGGAGGAGTCACTGACGGTCTACTTGTAGTAGGTGTGTGAGATCTTTTAACCCTGTGGAGGACAAGAATGTAAATACATCAGAAATAATAGCAAAATAACAAGTTACTTTTATTGTTTGATCTTTTAAGAGACCTTCAAATATTCAAAGTCACTGATAGTCTACTCATGGTAGGTGTGTGAGATCTTTTGACCCTATGGAGGACAAGAATGTCAATAAATCAGAAATAATAGCTAGATAACAGAAGTAACCTTTGCTGTTTGTCCCCCCTTTTAAGTCCCCCAAATATTAGGGTAGATTTACACAATATATGAGAAAGTCGAGTTCAGGCAAAATATCTCAAATAGGAGTAAACCTATTTAAGATATTGTGTTATACTTGAGTGTATACAGTAAGTGGTAAATTATAACACAGTAGATTCATCGACCCAGCTTCAATCATACTGAAATTAATTTTCCAGCACAACACCTTATAAAGGATGAAGATTTTTGTGCTTTTTATAAATTATAGTAAATTATAATAGAGGTTCATGGTTTATGAAAGACAAGGTTAACCACAGAACTGATGAAGAAAAAAAGGTGAGCAATGCATTGAGGTATCTGTTGAGACAAAAAACATTTCCCATGGAGGCAAACAAATAATAATATAATAATAATAATAATAATAATAATAATAATAATAATATCTTTATTTACTACAAGTACATGTACATGGTATACAGGCCTAGCTGACATCAAAGACATATGTACTACTATGTTATGCTGAGCATTTCGGACAAATTAGGTCAGTTTTGTCCCAGGATGATACCCACACCAGTCGACTAACACCCAGGTACCCATTTTAAACTGATGGGTGAACAGGGACAGGGACAGCAGGTGTCTTATGGAAACACGTTCCTAATGTTTCCAGCTGTACCGGAGGAGATTCAAACACTGGACCTCAGTGTGAGCTAGCAATCGAGCTACGGGACAAAGGAATGCACGAGATTATAGTGCATACCTGGAGAGGGTTTTGGGGATCAACATCCCCACAGCTCAATCTGTGACCAGGCCACCTGGTGGCTCAGGGTCTGATCAATCAGGCTGTTACTGCTGGCTGCACACAGACTGATGTACAAACCACAGCCACACTGATCAGGTACTGACTTTATGTGCCTGTTCAGTGCCTTCTTGTAGACAGCCAGGGGTCTATTGGTAATCACCCTTACGTATGCTGGGAGGCAGCTGAACAGTCTTGTGCCCCTGGCACTTATTGTGTCGTCTCTTTAAGTACAGTGGAACCTCGGCTTACGAGTGCCCCACCATACAAGTTTTTCAGGATACATGCAGTCGCTTAGTTGATTTTTTGTTTCTGGATATGAGCAAAAATTCAGGATGCGAGCTTTCCCCTTAAACAACTTTTTTGTAGACCTCCAGATCTTACAAAAGTAAAAGTGAATATATAACTGCAGTTCATTGTCGTGATGTACAGTGGAACCTTAGCTTACAAACACCGCATCATGCGAATTTTTCAGGATACAAACCGGCGTTTGGTCGATTTTTTGCTTCTGGATATGAAGGCAATTTCAGGATGCAAACTTCCCCCTCAAGGGAGGTTCCTTAAATAAATAATAAATAGAAAAGAGTAAGGTGATGAAGGTATCAAATGATTTAGATAAAGAAAAACTGGATATCAAATTGGGGAAGAGGAGTATGAAAGAAGTGAATGTTTTCAGATACTTGGGAGTTGACGTGTCGGCAGATGGATTTATGAAGGATGAGGTTAATCATAGAATTGATGAGGGAAAAAAGGTGAGTGGTGCGTTGAGGTACATGTGGAGACAAAAAACGTTATCTATGGAGGCAAAGAAAGGAATGTATGAAAGTATAGTATTACCAACACTCTTATATGGGTGTGAAGCTTGGGTTGTGAATGCAGCAGCAAGGAGTTGGTTGGAGGCAGTGGAGATGTCCTGTCTAAGGGCAATGTGTGGTGTAAATATTATGCAGAAAATTCGGAGTGTGGAAATTAGGAGGTGTGGAGTTAATAAAAGTATTAGTCAGAGGGCTGAAGAGGGGTTGTTGAGGTGGTTTGGTCATTTAGAGAGAATGGATCAAAGTAGAATGACATGGAGAGCATTTAAATCTGTAGGGAAAGGAAGGCAGGGTAGGGGTCGTCCTCGAAAAGGTTGGAAGGAAGGAATAAGGGAGGTTTTGTGGACGAGGGGCTTGGACTTCCAGCAGGCGTGCATGAGCGTGTTCGATAGGAGTGAATGGAGACGAATGGTATTTGGGACCTGACGATCTGTTGGAGTGTGAGCAGGGTAATATTTAGTGAAGGGATTCAGGGAAAACGGTTTATTTTTTATATAGCCGAACTTGAGTCCTGGAAATGGGAAGTACAATGGGCCCACACTCTAAAGGAGGGGTTTCGGGATATTAGCAGTTTGGAGGGATATGTTGTGTATCTTTATACATATATGCTTCTAAACTGTTGTGTTCTGAGCACCTCTGCAAGAACAGTGATTATGTATGAGTGAGGTGAAAGTGTTGAATGATGATGAAAGTATTTTCTTTTTGGGGATTTTCTTTCTTTTTGGGTCACCCTGCCTCGGTGGGAGACGGCCAACTTGTTAAAAAAAAAAAAATTATTTCTTTGTAAAGGTTACAATGTGTGTTTACATATCATAATATGATTGGAGCAAAGAAAGCCACTATCATGCTGAGGCATTTCAGCCAGACTTAGCCTAATAGTAATAGACAGGTGAAAAGTGTACTAGTAGTGGTTACCAATGTTTTGCTGATCGTAGTGCCAACTACTGGCAGCCTTTTGAAGTTTCTCCTTACTGATGTTATTATTATTATTATTTTTACATTGCATTATTATTATTATTATTATTATAATAATTATTATTATTATTATTTTTACATTGCATTATTATTATAATAATTATTATTATAATTATTATTATTAGTAGTATGTACGTGGTGATGGGCTCTTGATCTATGGAACTGGATCTGTGCTCCAGTTCCCTAATAACAATAATAATAATATAATAATAATACAATATCTTTCTTCTTTCAACAAACCGGCCATATCCCACCGAGGAAGGGTGGCCCAAAAAGAAAAACAAAAGTTTCTCTTTTAAATTTAGTAATTTATACAAGAGAAGGGGTTACTAGCCCCTTGCTCCCGGCATTTTAGTTGCCTCTTACAACACGCATGGCTTACGGAGGAAGAATTCTGTTCCACTTCCCCATGGAGATAAGAGGAAATAAACAAGAACAAGAACTAGAAAGAAAATAGTAGAAAACCTAGAGGGGGGTGTATATATATGCTTGTACATGTATGTGTAGTGTGACCTAAATGTAAGTAGAAGTAGCAAGACGTACCTGAAATCTTGCATGTTTATGAGACAGAAAAAAGGACACCAGCAATCCTACCATCATATAAAACAATTACAGGCTTTCGTTTTACACTCACTTGGCAGGATGGTAGTACCTCCCTGGGTGGTTGCTGTCTACCAACCTACTACCTAGGAATAATACAATATAATAGTAATAATAATAATAATATGTTGTCTTTTTTTTTCATATTTTTGTGCCAAATGCTTCAAAACAGAAATTGGTAACCCTCTGGATGGCTGTAGGTACAGCTGCTACGACCATGGCTATCTCAGTGCCAACTAAGAGTCAAAAGGAAGAGGTGTGCCGCTCTGAGTGACCGCAGCAGACCCTTGGGATGCGTAATTTTGACTTATACAAATTTCTTACACAATACCTCGCCCAAAGATACAGTATTTGCGTACAATCAGCAAGAAGGTATTAGAAACTATGAAAAAAGCTAGAGAAATGAAGAATGCAGCAGCATAGAGTGGGGCAGCTGGCCGCCGCCACCCCACCACCACTGTGGCCACAGTGATCATGTCTTCACCTATATATACATCTGTCTTGACCACACCTGTGGTTACATATGTGACAACCTCACCACTAATCATAGATAAACACAAGCTAGGTGTGGGGTTATGGACTGGGAAGATACTAGAGTGGGAGAGTAAATGGCGGATGCTTTCTGCCGCTGCTGGTGTCGCCATCACTTGCCATATTATGGCCTATTTTATTCATTCTAGAGTACGTACATATCATGTTTCTATGTTATTAATATTGTTTATTATGTCATATTAGATGAATTGTGATAGATAACTAAGCCATAGAGTTGATATTAGCATTATTTTGTTATGCCTCCTGAGAGGCTGTAACGGATTAATTGCATTTCAATTAATTTAAATGAGGAAAATTGACTTAGCATACGAACAAATCAGGATACAAAACAAGGTCACGGAACGGATTAAATTCGTAAGCCGAGGTTCCACTGTATTATGTTTTTCTTACTGCTTAAGACTATAACTGCAACAGAAATAATAGTATTTCTTACCTTAAATTGTGGATGCTGGTGTTTGTGGATGATTGTGAAGAGAGTGGAGAGTTATGCTGTGGCCCTACTGGGCTGAGGTGGATGGTAGAGGTTCTGGTACTGAAGTCAATGGTTGTACTGGAGTGTGCATAAATTCTGTAATGAATTTCTGTTCTATTTTACCCTGCAGTACATTATACAACTGATGGTAAGGCATCAGCTGCTCTAGACACTAGTTCTCCCTCACTTAGAATATTGCTCAGTGCTGACGGCCCTGTTCAAAGCAGGAAAAATATCGGAGCTGGAACAAATACAGAGATCGTTTACGGCTCTCACTGAGCAATAAAGCACCTAAACTACTGGGAATGCCTTCAAGTCTTGAACATGTACTCACTGGAGCAGAGGAGAGAGATACATGATAATATATACCTGGAAAGTACTCAAGGGCCTGGTCCCAAATATGCACACTGCCATAACAACATACTGGAGTAAGAGATATGGGAGGAAGTGGGAGCAGTGAGGACAATAAGGGAACACTGTATCAACATCCAGGGTCCCAGACTATTCAACATCTTACCAGAAGACATCAGAAACACGGCTGGAACAAGTGTAGAATCCTTCAAGAGACAACTGGACAAGTATCTTCACCAGGTGCCACATCAACCAGGCTGTGAGGGATATGTGGGGCAGCAGGCCACCAGCAACAACAGCCTGGCAAGCACCAGACGAGCCTGGCCCATGGCTGATCTCAGAGACTAGACAAACTCTCAAAACTCTTCAAAGGTACATATATCAAAGGTAAGGTATATCAGGGTCCTCTTCAGTGAAAAAATCTATCTTTAAGTCATTCAATAAGTCAGTTAAGTCATTCAGTCTGCCAGTCAAGTCATTTAGCCAGTCAAGTCAGTAAGTCAGTGAGCTAAGTCATTCAGTAAGTCAGTCAAGTCATTCAGTCAGTCAGTCAGTCAGTCAAGTCATTCAGTCAGTCAATCAAGTCACTCAGTCAAGTCAGTCAAGTCAGTAAGTCATTCAGTCAAGTCAATAAGTCATTCAGTCAAGTCAATAAGTCATTCAGCAACACTGGTATGCCTACTGGGTGTCGTGTTGGGGGATGGCGGGAGGTCTCCCCCGCTGACCCACAACAAAGCGGCCACTTGAGGTGGGAAATGACAGCCACCACTTGTCACATAATGACATATTTTATTCATTCTAGAGTATATATCAAGTTTCTATGTTATTTATATTATTTATTATGTCATACCAGATGAATTGTGATACATAAATAAGCCGTAGAGTTGATATTTCTGTCATATTCCTGCCTCCTGAGAGCAGGAATTCCGCTAGAACAGATTAATCGCATTTCAATTATACACACAATTTAAATGAGGAAAATTGACTCAGCATACGAGCAGATCGGGATACGGGCAAAGTCACGGAACGGACTAAACTCATAAGCTGAGGTTCCACTGTACTTGTGGCACCCCTGCTTTTCATTGGGGGTATGCTGCATCTCCTGCCCAGTCTTTTGCTTTTGTAGAGAGTGATTTTCATGTAGAAATTTGGGACTAGTCCCTCTACGTTTCAGAATGGGTAGGGAATGTGTAGATCAAGTGTTTACACTAAAGATATATGTGAACAGTATTTAGATAAAGGTAGAGAAGTTTTCATTGCATTCATGGATTTAGAAAAGGGATATGATAGAGTGGTTAGGGGAGCAATGTGGCAGATGTTGCAGGTGTATGGAATAAGTAGTAAGTTACTAGTAAATGCTGTAAAGAGTTTTTATGAGGATAGTGGACTCAGGTTAGGGTGTGTAGGAGAGAGGGAGATTACTTCCCAGTAAAAGTAGGTCTTAGACATAGATGTGTAATGTCACCATGGTTGTTTAACATATTTATATATTTATTTTGTATTTATTATTTATTAACACATAGGCTGTTTCTCACCAAGGTAGGATGGTCCAAAAAAAAACTTTCACCATCATTCACTCCATCACTGTCTTGCCAGAGATATGCTTACACTACAGTTATAAAACTGCAACATTAACATCCCTCCTTCAGAGTGTAGGCACTGTACTTGTCATCTCCAGGACTCAAGTCCGGTCTACTGGTTTCCCTGAATCCCTTCATAAATATTACCCTGCTCACACTCCAATAGCACATCAAATCCTAAAAACCATTTGCCTCCATTCGCTCCTATCTAACACGCTCACACATGCTTGCTGGAAGTCCAAGCCCCTCGCACACACAACCTCCTTTACCCCCTCCCTCCAACCTTTCCTACGCCAACCTCTACCTCGCCTTCCCTCCACTACAGATTTATACTCTCTCCAAGTCATTCTATTTTGTTCCATTTTCTCTACATGTCTGAACCACCTCAACAACCCCTCCTCAGCCCTCTGGATAATAGTTTTGGTAATCCTGCACCTCCTTCTAATTTCCAAACTATGAATTCTCTGCATTATATTCACACCATGCAATGCCTTTAGACACAACATCTCCACTGCCTCCAGCCTTCTCCTTGTTGCAACATTCACCACCCTTGTTTCACACCTATATAATAGTGTTGGTATAACTAATACTCTCATACATTCCCCTCTTTGCTTCCATGGACAAAGTTCTCTGTCTCCACAGACTCCAAAGAGCACCACTCATCCCTACATTGGTGGAAGAAGGCTGGTGCTAAAACAATAAATAATAATAATACTAATAATAATAAAAAAAGAGCAATGTGTACTGACCTAATAGAAGAATAAGGTGAAGCTCCACGGGAAAGGTTCATATGTTTATACAGTAATACACCTACATCCTTGTTGCCAGCTTCTACAGCAATAGTTAGAGCAGTACTGCCATCCTAAATAGAACAACTTAATTAGTACATATCACTGACATGTCAATATTATACAATTATACCATAACTAACACTATACAATATATATTTAACTTTGCTTTAAATTATTTTTATTTTGAAGCTATGGGTACAAATAAAGTTCAGCATAGTAATTGTTCTCTTATTTATTATTCTGTATTCTGAAATTGTTCAATATTCAAAATTTTAATTTTAACCCTTAAACTGTCCAAACATAGATCTACGATTTTTCAACATTTGAAAGTATGTAAAAAAACGTAGAGCTTCTTTTTCTTTTTTTTTTACATTTGAAAACGTGTAAAAAAAACTTTGATCTACGTTTTTTTGTTATATTTGAAAATATGTAAAAAAAAAACGTAGCTCTACTTCTGGAGCACTACGCATGTGAATGTAGATCTGTTTGGACAGTTTAAGGGTTAAAATTAAAAAAAAAAAAAAAAAGTATTTTCAAGAGGGAAAATTCCATACTGTACCTTGGTTTTTCTCTCTGATTCACATTTTTTTAGTAATAGGGAATTTTTCAGAAATTTTAAATTTAGAAATTTGAGTTTTTTAATTGATACTAAAAATTCTGCATCTTAGCTTGGAGCAAATATCTCCCACTTGGGTTACTGTTTTTCAAATAAGAGAACATTTTCCATAAGATTTATTTTGCAATACTCTCTGAAGCTTAGAATTTTCTGAATAAGAGCAAAAACTCTTTATCCAGCAAGGAAAATCTCTCCTATTAAAAAACTGAATAAAAGAAAAATTTTGCATTTCTATTAAAGTATGTACTATATTCAGAATTTTCTATAATTCAGACAAGCCAAGCACAAATTAGTCCAAATAAAAGTAATTACACTACTACTATTTTTTTGTTAGTTTAGCAACCTTGCAACTGTCAATACATCAAATTATTTAATTAAGAACTAAGACAAATTAAATTTATTTACATTGTCCATGAGTGTGGGATCAGTGTCAGGTTGGGCAAGGAGGAACTTAACAATGGCTAGGTGGCCATGTTCTGCTGCACACATAAGCGCTGTTGAGCCATCCTCGTCCTGGATGTTAATCTCTGCTCCAGCACCAACTAACATCCGAACCATGTCTAGTCGACCGTGGGACACTGCTAACATAAGGGCAGTCTGGCCATGCTATTACAAAGCAAGAAATTTGTGTGAGCACTGGAAGAATACCAGTACTATCAGTCTATTCTGAACTCTGATGCCTAAGCTTTCAGTTGGTTAAAAGCAAGATCACACTAAAAAAGTTCTCCAAATAGAACAAAAGTCAGCTAATGAAGCAGGTAATCTTTGTACTTGTATGAAGAATGCCAAGGTAAGTCAGTATGTCATTAAGTGTCAAAAATAAATACATATTGAAATTCACATCACTACAATTTAAAAAACACTATAAAGCCCAGTTCCTGCACAATACAATTATTTTCATATGCCTGTACTGTATATATTTCATGAGACTTCATGAAAAATTATGCATTCCAAAACATTTATCATTTATAAACAAGGATTAAAAAGGAGTAAATTTTTGTAAGGCTCTTGCTCTTAAACTAAAATTTGAACTTACTGAACTGTATACTCAAGATCTATATATCAATTTTTCCAAATTGATTTCCACATCTTCAGTTTTCACTTAATCCTTCAGACTGGTATGATAAGGAATGAGCTGATTAAATAAAAGAATAAACATACAAAGCAGTTTGCACTGCTGTCAGTGTCTAAGAAGACAATACTAATAACTTCAGTGGGTGTTAAAGAATTGCAGCTCGAGGATTTAACCAGTGATGTAGCAAGTAACAAACTTGATACCTGTATCGCAATGACTGTAAAATGTGAATAAACTTCAGTTCCGGCAACTTCTTAAAATTATAAATGGGGCCTGGATGTTTTACGGCATGTGTACATATGCAAATATTGTAAGACAACTACTGTACTATATCCACGTTTAAAATAGATTTTGCATGGAAGTGTACTGAATATCCACGTTTAAAATAGATTTTGCATGGAATTGCATGTACCAAAAAATAAAAGTTTCATAAAGCTCCAGGTACCTACATGTCCAGCTTTACTGGTTTAGTACACACCTCAATATTTAGATACCTGTGCAAGAGTTTTTGCCATTTCCTTTACTCCTTCACATCCCCATTTTTTATAGTGCAATAATAGATCACTGCATGAGAATTTCTTAACAGACTGATAAGTAAATCACCTGGCTGGCTTTAATGTTGACATCACCAAGCTGGAACAATCTTTGAACAACACTAGCATGAGCCTCAGAGCGAATCTGTGCTAGAGATACCAGCATAGTGGCTGTATAGCCTGCTTTGTTTTGATGGTTAATGTTGCAAACTTTAGAGTCCAATAGTACAGAGACAACATCAAAGTTTCCATGTGAAACTGCATAGTGCATTGCAGTGTTTCCCTGAAACAATGAAAATTAAGAAAAATTACACTTCATGACTATAAGTTCAGGAGATGCTCTTACAAGCCATTCTCTTCTTTAGTTTCAAACTCTTTCGACTAAATCCTCATAAAATTTATTCAACATACCAACCATTTCCTCCCTGGGTAGGGTGTTCCCCCAAAAAAGGAAACCCATTCATCATTCTTTCAACAGCTAGCTATCATGGCCATTAGCTACCTTTCTTACTGTACTTATAATTATAGTTAACTGCATAATAAATCCTTCTTAACAGTTTATGTCTAACTATTTAGTAGTCTTTAAGCAACAGGATTAGTTTGCCCAAACATACTAGTGGCTTTCTTTTGTGCTTACTATTGTTTTATTACATGCAAACTACATTACTTTATACTGCATAAAGAAATAAAAATTTGTATTTCTAAGTGTACAGACATCACAATTTAAATGACTCTCCAAACTGTAACATCCCCACCTGTTCTTCAGAGTGAAGGTACTGTATTTCCCACCTGCAGGAATCAGGTCTGGCTAATTAATTTCAATGAATTCATTCATAAATGTTACCTTGCTTACACTTCAACACCATATCAAGCCATAAAAAAACACTTGTAACCACAGATTCTGCTTTATCAAGCTTCACAAGCCTGCTGAATGCTCAAACCTCTAGCACTCAAAACCTCCTATACTCCCTCTCCCTCTAACCCTTCAGTGAATGGCCCCCTAATCACTCCTTCCTTCTACCCAAGATTTATGTACCCTCATAGTCATCCTATTTTGCTCCATCTTCTCTAAATGCCCATCTCCCATTAAGATAGGGTATATATACATATATATTATACACAGTTATACATAGATTTTAGATTTACAGTATACTTGTACTTCCATTTTTACATTACTCTATGATCATTTTCCCTGTTAATTTTTTATATAATATAAACTCACATTAACATCACTGAGGTTGACCACTCGCTGCAGAAGACCCTTGGAGTATTCCTCAAAGACATCCATATAATCTTCCACAGCATGGGGATCTGCATCCTTCTGACTTGAAACCTATGACACAAGTAGTAGCAAAATCAACACATTTTTCACAAGCTTACTTACTCCTAATCTAACCCTTTGACTGTCGAAGGGCCAAATCCTGAAGTTGCTTCTGGTGTCGCAAAATATTCGAAAAAAAAAAAAAATTATTTTTTCTTATGAAATGATAGAGAATCTTTTCCCGATTGTAAAGACACCAAAAAAACGAAATTTGATGGAAAACTGACGGAATTACGCTCTCGCGAAGTTAGCGACTTCGGCGATATTTAAAAATCGGCAATTTCGCCCACTTTGAGCCCTATTTTCGGCTAATTCCGTTATTCCAGTCAACCAAACTCATAACTATTTCTTCAGAACTCTATTTTTTCTATCGATTGAGTACAAGAAACTGCCCATTTACCGATTTCAACTACCCAATAACATGGTCAGAAATTTGCAATTTGGCCAATTTCACGAAAATTAAAAAATACGACAATTTCAAAATAAGGTCCAGAATGAACAATGCAGACATTCCTGGCTCTAAATAAACATTTTCTTTGTCATCAGTCATGTCTCCAGGTCCCTGTGATATTACTCTTGCTTTTTATTTTGAAATTTTATTCAAACAAAAAATAGAAGATTTACTGTTATGCAGACTACTGCAATACTGTAATAATTGTAAAAATTACATCAACCCATTCATGACTGCATATTAGAATGGCTATTTGGACATTTATTGGACAATGACATCATTTGTTCACTTTTGAACATCGGCAAAAATCAAACATTTCCTGTACTTTGTGCTCCATTTCCAGGTTCTTTTTATAGTAAAATTAATCAAAATCACCTCCATTTGTTAATATAGTTTCCATTCTATCAAATGAGACCAAGGAAAAACGAGAATACAACCACAAATACTATACGAAAATAGACCACAAAGTCGGCATTTTAATTAAAAAAAACGGTCGGAGTTTTTTTTTTCTCATTATGCACTGCGTGCTCCAGGATTTTTTTTATGTGGTGCACACTGACCACACAGACCCATTCTCTCACATGTGGGCCTACTAGCTTTCTCTGCCTGATTTGAAGCCGCTAGAATTTATGAGTATATATACGTCAAACACGGTACCTCGCAAACGTATATATACGGCCGCGACAGTCAAAGGGCTAAAAGGGATAAACATAAAATAACAACAATTTATTGGCATGCATTTCCATACAAATAAATATGCCATTAATGGATAAGCAGTATCCAGTAATGATTTTGATAAAACTTTTTAATATCAAATTATTAGAAAGAAAATATCTAATTGAAAATGAAGAGCTAAAAGTGTTACAGATATGATGAATAAGCAAATGTGTATTATTTACAAAGCATGAAAACTATATGGGCCTTACAGTGTAATGAGTGTTGTAGGACTGGTACTCTGTGAGCTAATCGCATATGTGGAAACAAAGGAGGTGTAGTGGGTATCCAGAGAAAGGTTGAAAGTAGAGTGTAAAAAAAATATTGAGTTATCGGGGGTTGAACATTTCATCACGGGTATGTAAGTATGTTAAGTCTGGACAGAGACGAGTAGTCAGTGATATCTGACACTCTGGTTAGCCAAGCTGGAGATGTGGAGATTGAAAGTATAGTAATGTACTTGCACTTTGAAAGTGGGCATGATGCTGCAGTCAACACTGAACCACAATATTTATTTCCTTCTGGAAGGGTAATTAAAGGAAGTGACTGTGAAGGTGCTTTCTTGTTCAGTTGGAAACGAGTCATGTTAAACAGCTTACCTTGAACCATTCTCTTTGGATGATATTAAGGGCATTGGTAAGTTGCTGACCAGAGCGAACAGGTTTGCCAATGGAATCATTCACAACCTTTAGTGCTGCTTTCATCTCCCTTGATGGTACAGCCCTGTAAATGATAGGTCCATTTATACATTTTCAGTGTATTTTTTTATGTGATAAAAAAATTATAAGAAATTCTAAGCTGAGTGTAAGTAGAGCATCAATGGAAAATATACATATACAGCCTCTCCTCACTTAGTGATGTACTCATTTACCGACAACTCGGACTTACGACGGGCTCTCTGACCAGTATGCATACATAAATAATTTATGTTAGAGCTGATTTCCTCTATTCTGTTTATTACAATATACAGTACACTACTGTATAAACATTTAAAAATATACCAAAAATGTTATAAATGTTGCAAAGGTGACATTAAAAGAATATCAAAGATGGTTGACAAAAACCCACTACCATTATAGTATGCTCCTCACTTACCGACAAATTTGTTTACAGACGTGGTCTTAGGAACGAAACTCCATCGTTAAGTGAGAAAAGGCTGTATTAGATTACTATATTACCTAGAATGTCTCTCCATACTCAACCTTCAGTGAAGATGCAGTACACTCACTGCCTCAACCCTGTCCTTTCTGTATCTTGACAGTTAATTCCACAAAATATTCTTCCTGATTCATCAATTAAATAATGAAGCCCATTAATAACCTCTATATACAGTATCTATTCCCTGATGTATTTTCTCAATAAACAGAGTAAAATTCAAATAATCAAAATTATTTCTTCATTAAGGTAGAAGTTTCTTTTGGCATAAAATTTTAGTATGGTATACATCATGTTTTCTATGAATTCTCTTATTTTTCTTGAACATTCTTTCATTTTTTTGTTCACCATGCTTTTCAAACTCTTTCTACCTTAAAAGAAACACTGTGATCATGTATATACTGTATACTGTACTTCTTTTATATCACTCAATGTCTTGTTACCCACACTGTTCAGTCTTAAACTCTATACCTCATGATTAACTTTTACTTAACTAACCTCTTAGTGTATCTCTTTTTTCACTTGCAGCTTCCACATTCTTCTCCTTTTGTTTACTTTTTGTTTCTCAAACTCAGACACTGCTATGCTGAAGGTTTAGTTAAGTGTGCAGCTTAGGTAAAGAATTAGGTGTGAAGTTTGGGTCTGCAGTTAGGTGCACAGTGTAGGCATCAGACTGAAAACTTTCTTGCCAAGGCAATATAAGGTTTTCCCACCAAGCATGCTGTACCCAACAGCCAGCTATGTGGTGATTTTTTTTTTTAATTGAATTAAAACCTAACTCTAGTATTCCAACAGATGATTACCATATATGGTTATCCTTTTATTCTAAAATGGTTGCAAAACCTAGCTATGGTACTCCAACAGATGGTTAACCATATGACAAATACCATGTCATGATGAACAAAATACCACCACCTATAGCCAGCTGGGAATGAATAAACCATGAGACAAACTAAGCAAAAACCGTTATGTGTAACTACTTCTTTAATAAACTGGTATCTGTGCCAAACCTCTTCATTCTTTTTTGTAGAATATTTATTTGTTGGTTTACTTTTTTTTTTTAACACACTGGCCTCTCCCACTGAGGCAGTGTGACCCAAAAAAGAAACACTTTCACCATCATTCACACATAATCACTGTCTTTGCACAACTTACATGGTGATATTTGAGAATGGTTCAAATAAAAAGACTTGCATTATAGTGAACAACAGTGTTACAGCAATGCATCCCAGGTGTCTACACACTAAGCTTGCAGAGATCGTTCAACATGCTACTGCATAAATATTCCAATACAGAAAGAACATAATGGCACAATTCTGTGACCAGAATACACAAATAACCTGCATATAGGAGAGAGGAGCTTACAATGACATTTTGGTCCAAATTGGACCATTTACAAAGTCACACTAACACAAAAGAGTGAGGGAGCCAGTATATATTAATAGGCGAGGGAGACAAGGACAGGAACAAGAGAGGAAGAAAAACAAGTAGTGGTAGAGGTAAGGTTGGTAGTGGCAGTAGTAGCAGTAGAAGTAATAGTGGTAGTAGAAAGTAGGGAGAGTAGTTTTAGTGGCACAAAAGAGAAAGGGGAGCGAAGGGTGAAGGGAGGCAATAGTAAAGGTAGTAGCAATAGCAGAGGAATGGAGGGGAAGTATTAATAAAAGAAGTAGGGTCAGTCTACAAACCACTACCACTGCTTCTTCTTCCTCTCTTGTTCCTGTTCTTCCTTGTCCCCCTTGCATATATATACTGGCTCTCTCACTCTTTTGTGTTAGTGTAACTTGTAAATGGTCCAAGTTTTACCGAAATGCTGTAAAGCTCCTCTCTCCTATGTGCGGGTTATTTGTGTAATATTCCAATACAAAAATCAAAATTCCACTGTCCAACGCAGAACATAGTTGTTTTTATTATACACCTTGACAGAAAACTAAAATTCAACACACAACTAGCACATCTAAAAAACTTTCTTTTCTAAAACAATGGTCATTCTTTCTAAAATATGTTACTATGTACCACAAACATTACTCACTCTGTACCCTTACTTCACTTTTGGCTTATGTGCATGAAGAACAACAACAGCAACTCATCGTAGCTCAATAAAAAATGTCATTAAGCTCTTCTTGAATAACTGCAACAAAATGCATAGACACAATACAAAACAAATAATCACTTTGATATCCCACATATTCAATTTAACCTAAGAAGAAATTCCATGCAAATAAAAGGCAAAAATATGGAACCACCCATTAGATGATTTCAAAATTTCCCTAAATGACAAAAACTTCAAAAATATTGTTAGAAAACGTTTCCTATACCTGACACAAATTTACTCAAATTGAATATGTGTCAAATGCAGTCCTGTATATCTAATGAAACTTATACTCATCCAATTACTGTCATTATTATATATTTACACTCTCCCAAAATTATTATAAGTAAAACTGGTAATATAATTTGTTTTAGCATCCCTTCAGATTACCCATGATGTCTTAATTACATCAAGATTTGTTACTTAAAATTATCATTATCAGTGTATCTTCATACAACTGGATTATAAACTTAGCATTCAAATAATCTTACTTCTACAGAACTGCCCAAAATGCTCTCGCATTACCTAGGGTTTTTGGCTGGGTTTTGGGAGATTCTAAAGAGAAGTTGTAAAGGCTAGTGATGAGTGGGAGGGTGTGTAAAGGGAGAAAGTTGAAAGTGAATACAGACAAGAGTAAAGTGGTGAGGGTATCAAATGAGTTAGGTAAAGAAAAACTGGAAATCTCATTGGAGGGAGGGAGTATGGAAGAAGTGAATGTGTTCAGATATGTATTTGGGAGTAGACTTGTCAGTGGATGAGTTTATAAAAGACGAGGTTAGCTATGGAACTGATGAAGGAAAAAAGTGAGTGGTGCACTGAGGTATCTGTGGAGACAAAAAAAAACAAAAAAACATTATCCATAGAGGCAAAGAAAGGAATGTACGAGAGTATAGTGGTATCAACCACGGTGCCCTGTGGCCTGGTGGCAAAAGCCCTCGCTTCACACGGTGAGGGTCCGGGTTCAATTCTCGGCGAAGGGGTGGGAACATCAGACATGTTTCCTTACACCGGTTGTCTATGTTCACCCATCAGTAAAATGGGTACCTGGGTGTTAGTTGACTGGTGTAAGAACATAAGAACATAATAAAGAAGGAACACTGCAGCAGGCCTACTGGCCCATGACAGGCAGGTCCAATTCTCCCACTGGCTTAAGCTAATGCCTTGACCTAGTCAGGTCAGTCACATTCACTTAAGGGAGGAGCACGGCATCCAACCTAGTAACACAAGTTAGTCAGGTCCAACTCACACCCACCCACACCCACTCATGTATTTATCTAACCTATTTTTAAGCTACACAACATCTTAGCTTCTATGACGGTACTCGGGAGTTTGTTCCACTCATCCACAACTCTATTACCAAACCAGTGCTTTCCTATATCCTTTCTGAATCTGAATGTTTCCAATTTAAAACCATTGCTGTGAGTCCTGTCTATGCTAGATATTTTTAGCACGCTATTTACATCCCCTTTATTAATTCCTGTTTTCTACTTATATACCTCAATCATATCCCCCAAATTCTATGCCTTTCTAGAGACGGCAAATTTAGGGCCCTCAGTCAATCCTCATAGGGAAGATTTCTGATACATGGGATCAAGTTTGTCATCCTCCTTTGTATGTTTTCCAGTGCATTTATATCCATTCTTTACCAAAACTGCACAGCATAATCTAAATGATGCCTAACCAAAACTGACCTAATTTGCCCGAAATGCTCGGCATAACAAGGGGCTTTCCATATTATTATAATAATAATAATAATAATAATAATAATAATAATAATAATAATAATAATAATAATAATAATAATAAATTTATTTTGATATGATACATGGTTGTACAAAGGAATATAATAGTTGAGTGTACATGCCAAAAGCCCCTTGTATGCAGAGCTAGGCCTGTATACCTTGTACATGTACTTGTAGTAAATATATTATTATTATTATTATTATTATTATTATTATTATTATTATTATACAGGTGTGAAGCATGGGTTGTAAATGCTGCAGCAAAAAGGAGGCTGGAGGCAGTGGAGATGTCGTGTCTAAGGGCAGTGTGTGGTGTAAATATTATGCAGAGAATTCGTAGTGTGGAAATTAGGAGCAGGTGTGGAGTTACTAAAAGTATTATTCAGAGGACTGAAGATGGGTTGTTGAGGTGGTTTGGTTATTAGAGAGAATAGAGCAAAATAGGATGACTTGGAGGGTGTATAAATCTGTAGTGGAGGGGAGGGGGTAGGGGTCATCCTATGAAAGGAGGGAGGGAGAGGGTAGGAGAGGTTTTGTGTGCAAGGGACCTGGACATCCAGCAGGCATGTGTGAGCATGTTAAATAGGAGTGAATGGAGATGAATGGCTTTTAGGACCTGATGAGCTGTTGGAGTGTGAGCAAAGTAATATTCTGTGAAGGGATTCAGGGAAACCAGTTAGCTGGATTTGAGTCCTGGAGGTGGGAAGTACAATGTCTGCACTTTAAAATAGGGGTTTGAGATATTTGCTCTTGGGAGTGACATTTAAACTGTCATATCTGAGTGCCTCTGCAAAGACACTGATTATGTATGAGTGATGGTGAAAGTATGTTGAATGATGGTGAAATTACTTCTTTCTTTTTCTGGTCACCATGCCTCGGTGGGAGACTGCTGACCTGTTAAAAAACAATTCTGGAAATAAATTTTGTAAACTACAGTAGTTAAAAACATTCCAGTTAATGACTGGCACAAAAATTGAATTCTTGCCACACTTACTTCTTCCTGCTCTTCTCACTGGTAGCTGTGAACAACGATGATGTACTCTGGAAAGATGACGATACTGCATGATCGTCAGGATGTGAGCTGACCGATGCCCCCATCAGTGACTCCTCGTCACAGATTTCATTTTCAGACTCACTGGATGACTGGGAGTGAGTATGGCTCTCTTTCTTTCCTTGGATGACTGGCTCAGGGTCTGTGACCCTATAACAAGGTCAACATGCTTTTTAAAGAGAATATATCAAAACAATAATAATACACAAATGCCAGCTAATAAGTTGGCCATTTTTTTTTTTTTCAACAAGTCGGTCGTCTCCCACCGAGGCAGGGTGACCCAAAAAAAGAAAGAAAATCCCCAAAAAGAAAATACTTTCATCATCATTCAACACTTTCACCACACTCACACATTATCACTGCTTTTGCAGAGGTGCTCAGAATACAACAGCTTAGAAGCATATACGTATAAAGATACACAACATATCCCTCCAAACTGCCAATATCCCAAACCCCTCCTTTAAAGTGCAGGCATTGTACTTCCCATTTCCAGGACTCAAGTCAAGACTCAAGTTGGCCATATATTAATAATAATAATAACCCCAGATGACAGTAAGTGCAGAACTGTTGATATGGGAAGGTTGCATGCTCCGCAGGTCATGAGGCACTGATGTAGAAATGAATTTTTAAATTCATTCATCAAAGGTATGTACTATACACTAATCTGTAGCAGAACTCTAATGATCCACCAGGAACTCAACCATCAGTACTTTAAATCATGGTGAAGGCAGCTGTAGAAGGGGGACAGGAATTCAGGAGCCATGTCACAGAAATAAGAACCCACAACAAAAGACTGGCAGTGTGTATGGGCTCTTCTCTATTCCTGGCAATTGCTAACTTTTATACAGAATATTTCAAAACTGTTCTACTTCCCACTATTGATGTATGCATATCCTCTCTGGCTTTACTATGCACTGTAAATGATGTCTTTACTTTATGGCCTTATGGCTATAATCTCTTCTAACCCCATCTTGCTGCTCTTAACTTTGTCCCATCTTTTATGTTTAAAGATAAATGGGACTATCTCACTACAGTCATCCAATATTAATGAGTAGTTACTTAGTGGAATTTTAATGTCAAAAAAAAAAAAAAAAAAAAAAAAAAAAGCACTGGCTGGCTACCTGGCTGGCATAGCTGGATGGCTAATTGGCTGGCTGGTTGACTGGTTGGCTGGCTAACTGGTTGGTTGGCTGGCTAACTGGTTGGTTGGCTGGCTAACTAACTGGCTGACTGGCTAACTGACTGGCCAGCTGGTTGATTGGATGACTTACCAACTGGCTGGCTGACTCAGTAGACCAAGTCTGCTGATTCAGAACTTTGAATGTTCATGTTACAATCATCAAAAATTAATTTCATAATTTAGAAGTTACATGTAATCTGCAATATCGTACACCCCCTTACCCTATAGATCCATTAATTAGAAGGGTTCACCATACATACAAAAAATTATCGTAGAAGTCCACACCTGAAGCTATAACACAAGATCCTATTGGAAAATTAGACTCGCTTATCATAATTTTAAATTTAAGAACTATTCTTACTGTCCCTATTTCAGTCATCAAGTGAGGGATGACTGTACAGTGGTACCCCGAGTTTCGTACAGCTCCCAACTCAAACAATTATGTAAGTGCATTATTGTAAGTGCTTTAGTAAGTGTATTTTTGGGGGTCTGAAACAGACTAATCTAATTTACAGTGTTCCTTATGGGAACAAATTTGTTCGGTAACATCACTCGAACAGCCTTCTGGAATGAATTATGGCCGAAACTCGGGGTACCACTGTACTTCCCTTCCCTGATGTTTATAGCCACTGCTCTGTGACTAATTTTTCATCTAATGCAAATCTAAGCACAGTGGTATGTGAATTCATTACTTTTCCTATAATTCACAATGTTAAGAATAGTGCTCTTATTACTTTGCCTACTCTCATGCTAAGAGGAATTTCTTTTAAACCCACTATTCCTGTGATGACACCTGTACTTTCCTTCTCTTTATTTCTAATTTATAACATTATGCTTTTTGTCTTTTGGAAATGAACCTTTACTGAGTTAAATGTATATATTTTATTTTAACTCTTCTTGCATCTTTTGCAATACCTCAGTTAAACTGCTCGCTCCTTTTCTGACAAATTTAAGGAACACTATTTTGTGTTATCTTAAAGGCCATGACCATCCCAAAAATGGGTTCTATGACAAAATTATCCATCATTCTTCTAGCATTCACAGAAGCCATCTTGTTGAATCAGCTTTTATATACAACTCTCTTAACATGACTCTTAGCTCCAACTTTGCTTCTGGGGATGCTTGCATTTTCCAGCTCCCTGTCAAACCTCAGTCAGAGAACACCCAATGCAACATGACAATGGGCTTCTCCTAACCTCTCTTCATATGACCTGACTTACTTTTCTCCCTTTTTTCCTCACTCATGACTTGATAATGGTCTAGGACGGTCCATTAGATGTTGATTTAGTTTAAGACAGCTGCCATGGGTCTGAAATTCATCTACTGCATAAAGAAAAGGCCTCCTTTACATCTACTCTTTGATTTTTTTTTTTTTGTATTGTTGGATATTTTTACTTTATACACTACAGAATTAATATTTCCATAACCGGCCTTTTTGAAATTTGATTATTTGATTAAGAAGCTCGTTAATAGGTGATTTATTATATACACATCTACTATTTCAGAGTAAAATTTTACACTTACATTATCACCAGACTTGTTACAAACACTAAGTCTCAATCATTACTTACAAGATTTTTCTTTCTTCTTTTTTTGAATATATTTCCTTCTTTGGTGTTTCTACTTTCTCAATTTTCTTTGTTACAGCATTTTTGTGTTCTGTGGCACTTGTGAGAGGTTTTGTAGATTCTGCCTTTTTTGCATTCCTCTGAGCCTTAGCTTCCTCGGTATCAGCATTCTCGTCAAACCCAAGGTTAATTAACCCCTCGGAGTACTTAGTGTATGTCTGCTGTCGGGTATATGGTGCACGTTTGGTCTGGAAGTAAAACTATGCAGGTAAGACACTGTAACAATTAACAGCTAAGGCTTTGAAAGCATTTGATGTGACTTGACATGCTCTTATTTAAAGTGTACTGAACTAGTGCAATTACAGTTGACCATCAATCAAAACGGTGAAAACAGCATATAGCCAAAAATACACATAAACTGATATAAAGAGCATATGAGAAAAATAAGGTTATGTTCATTACTCCCCTAAAAAAGCCAACCAAATTTTCTATAGGTTTTTCATAGGTCTCAAAATTGTAAAAAACAATGATAATGATGCAATTGTAGGTCAGTATGGTGATATGCATGTCAAAGCATTTGCAACCACATCTCTGCTAGCTGACAGAGGTACGTACCACCTTACTGTTTGGTTATCCTACTCATTTCAACTGTATGGAAGTTATAAAGGTTAGAGTGGTTAGAGTGGGTGGGGTGAGTGGGTTTGGCGTGGGGGTAGTGGATCGGGGGTTGGGATTGGGGGACTGCTGTAACAGGAGGTATAAATCAAGCAGTGAAGGGATGGGGGCAGGAGCTGGAGACTGGTGTTGGGAAGTGGAGGATGCTGGGCAGTGAAAGGATGTTGGGGAAGTGGGTATGGAGGCTGGAAGCTAGGCAGTATGATGGGTGACAGTGTGGGTGGCAGTGTCATTGGCTCACTGTGAGTGGTGTATAGGTGGTGGTGTGGGGGGGTGGTGCAGGTGGGGGTGGTGGTGCACATGGGGGTGTGGGTGGTGGTGTGGGTAGTGGGTGGGTGTGTGGGGTGGTGTGTGTGGGTGGTGGTGTGGGTGGGTGTGGTGTGGTGTGGATGATGGTGACTGGATGGGTCGCCATCTGGAGAAGACCTGGGCCGGAAGTACCGGCAAATCATAAATGAATAAATGAATGATGGGCGAGTGTGAGTTTGGTGGTGTGGGCAGTAATGACAATGGAGGGTGGTTTTGTAACTAGGTGTGTGGAAGGCATGTTAGGGTGTATGGGTTGTAATAACATGGTTAAGGTGTGGGTGCAAGGCTGTAGGAGTGGGTCTCTGCTGACTTGGGACTATGGAAAATTGGTGTGGGTGAAAGTTATAAGCAGAGGCCATGTGGGCTACACCACCACCCAGTGTGGTTGGTGGTGTATATGATGGGTGACTGGTGGGTGAGTGTGTGGCTGGTGTTACAAGCAGTAACAAAGGTGGTGGGTAACCAAGTGATTAAGTGTATGGATTACATGTTAGGGTGAAAGATCAAGTAAGGTGCAGGCATAAGATTGTGGGAAAATAGTATCGGTGAGGATGTGAGGTTGGGCAAGATGTCGCCTTGAGGTAGTGGGGATGTGAGGTCTATCCAATGTCTACCTGAAGGGCGTTCCAGGAGTCAACGCCCCCACAGCCCAGTCTTTGACGAGGCCTCCTGGTGAATCAGGACCTGATCAACCAGGCTGTTACTGCTGGCCCCATGTAATCCAATGTACAAACCATAACCCAGCTGATCAGGTACTGACTTTAGGTATCTGTCTAGCTCCCTCTTGAAGGCAGCCAGGGGTCTATTGGTAATTCCCCTTATGCCTGGTGGGAGGTTGTTGAACAGTCTTGGCCCCCAGATTTTTACTGTGTTTTCTCTTAGTGTACTAATGGCATCCCTACTTTTCATTGGGGGTATATTGCACCATCTGCCCAATCTTTTGCTTTCATAGAGAGTGATTTGTGTATGCAGATTTGGGACCCATTTCTCTAGGATTTTCCAGGTGTAGATTATGATGTATCTCTCATGCCTGCACTCCAGTGAGTACAGGTCAAGTGATTCCAAGTGTTCCCAGTAATTAGGGTGTTTGACGAAACTTATATGTGCAGCAAAGGTTCTCTGTACATTCTCTAGATCTGTGATTTCACCTGCTTTGAATGAAGATGTTAGTTTACAGCAGTATTCCAGCCTAGAGAGAACAAGTGATTTAAAATGATGACCCAAAGAAAGAATCCCGTTTACCACTGCTCCTTCCCTTATCTTTCCAAAAGTGTACATACATCATAATTGAAATGATCCACCAAACGAAAGCATTGTTGTGCAAGAAAGGTATACAATACTGATAAGATGAAAGTTAAGACACATGCAACATCTGGTTATCTTTATTGTAGACGTTTTGCCATCCAGTGGCTTTATAAATACAGATTCTAGGATATAACTAGAAGACAGTAAAACTATATACAAAAGATGAGGTAATCAGTCCCTCAGCCTTGGAGTTGGTGTAGAGAGCACTGTGGTTGTAGAGATTTTGGAGCACAGGCAAGGAGACTGGCACTTATATAGGCGTCAGCAGATAGGACTGTGTAGCAGACGAGGGCATAGTCACTGGTAGGTGGGATTCCCCAGTGGAAGTAGGTCATACCCAAAGGGATGGGTTAATTGTAGTAGCCATGAATAAGGTCATGTAGATGCCCTCTGAACCAAGATTCCATGATGTTGCAGTGTCTGACAGGTTGTGCTACGACCAAGGTGCTCTCCACACCAACTCCAAGGCTGAGGGAATGATTACCTCATCTTTTGTACATAGTTCTATTGTCTTCTAGTTATGTCAAGAATCTGTATTGATAAAGCACTGGATGGTGAAACGTCTAAAATAAAGATAACCAGATACTGTACTTTCATCTTGTCGGTATTGTATACTTTTCTTGCACAACTTGTCACACACTGCAACATCATGGAATCTTGGTTCAGAGGACATCTACATGACCTTCTTCACGGCTACTACAACTAACCCATCCCTTTGCGTATGACCTACTTCCACTGGGAAATCCCGCCTACCAGTGACTATGCCCTCGTCTGCTACATGTCCCTACCCGCTGACGCCTATATAAGCACTAGTCTTCTTGCCTATGCTCCAGAATCTCTATGACCATGGTGTTCTCCACACCAACTCCAAGGCTGAGGAACTGATTACCTCATCTTTAGTATATAGTTCTACTGTCTTCTAGTTATGTCCTAGAATCTGTATTGATAAAGCCACTGGATGGCGAAACAACTACAATAAAGATAACCAGATGCTGCACATGTGTCTTAACTTTCAAAAGCATTGTTCTTCATTAATGTTTTGTTTACCTCCATGATCATCTCCCATCAACAGGAAACGTGCACCATCATTCATTACTGGTTCCCCTGAATCCCTTCATATATGTTACCTTGCTCACACCTTTCTTTTCACAGATGCCTCAACACATCACTCACCTTTTTATCCTCCCCTTAGCTTTTCTATGGTTCACCTTATCTTTCAGACCCATCTGCTGACATTTACAATCCAAAATATCTAAATATATCCACTTCTTCCCTCCCTCCAATCTGATATTCAATCTGTTTTTAACTAGACTTTTTAGTTACCCTCATCACCTATCTCTTTTACTTACTTTCATTTGCTTCTACTTTCCTTCATTTACATACCCTCCCAAATTTGTCCACCAACCTTTGCAACTTGTCTTCAGAATCCCCCATTCTTATAAACATATTTTACTATTAATTTAACACTTATGGCAAAACAGCATTTGAATGAATAATGGTGAATGAGTTTCCTGATGAGAAACAGCCCAAACTACACAACCTAAAATTTAAATTTACTAAATAACGAAGAATACAAATAATGTTTGAGAACATGAGTTAATAAAGCAAGTGAGGCAAATAAAAAGATTTTGGGAAATGTTGAGTGAGTGTGTGGGGAGTTTTGAACCAAGTGAGAGAGTGCTTGTGGTTGGGGATCTCAATGCTAAAGTGGGTTAAAGTGTTGTGGAGGGAGTAGTAGGTAAATTTAGGATGCCTGGGGTAAATGAAAATGGGGTGCCTTTAATTGAGCCATGTGTAGAAAGAGGCTTGGTAATAAGTAATATATATTTTGTGAAAAAGAGGATAAATAAGTACACAAGATATAGAACATGTAATGAAAGAGTTTGTTAGATTATGTATTGGTGGATAAAAGGTTGATGGGTAGTCTTCAGGATGTACATGTTTTAAAGAGGGGGCAACTGATATATCAGATCATTATTTAGTTGTACTACAGTTAGATAGAGTAAAAGGTAGATGGACAAAAGGAAAATGGCAACAGCAAGTGAGAGAGAGGTGAGAGTGTATAAACTAAAGGAGGAGGAAGTTAGGGGTGAGATATAAGCAACTATTGGCAGAAAGGTAGGCTAGTGCAAATATGAGTAGTGGAGGGGATATTGAAAGGTTGGAATAGCTTTAAAAATGCATTATTAGAATGTGGGGCAGAAGTTTGTGGCTATAGGAGGGTGGGTGCAGGAGGAAAGAGGAGTGATTGGTGGAATGAAGTAAAGGGTGTGATAAAAGATAAAAAGGAAGCGTATGAGAGGTTTTTACAAAGCAGAAGCATTAAAAGAAGAGCAGAGTATATGGAGAGTAAAAGAAAGGTGAAGAGATTGGTGAGAGAGTGCAAAAGAAGAGCAGATGATAGAGTGGGAGAAGCACTGTCAAGAAATTTTGATGAAAATAAGAAAAAGTTTTGGAGTGAGTTAAACAAGTTAAAAAAAAACTAGGGAATGAATGGATTTGTCAGTTAAAAACTAAGTAGGGGAGTTAGTAGATGGGGAGCTGGAGGTATTGGGTAGATGGTGGGAATATTTTGGGGAACTTTTAAATGTCGATGAAGAAAGGGAGGCGGTAATTTCATGCACTGGCCAGGGAGGTATAACATCTTTCAGAAGTGAAGAAGAGCAGGATGTGAGTGTGGGGGAGGTACGTGAGGCATTACATAGAATGATGGGGGGTAAAGCAGCTGGAACTGATGGGATCACGACAGAAATGTTAAAAGCAGGGGGGAGGGGGGGTAATCTGAGTAGTTGGCATTTTTGTTTAATAAATGTATGAAAGAGAGGAAGGAGCCTAGGGATTGGCAGAGAGCATGTATAGTTCCTTTATATAAAGGGAAGGGGGACAAAAGAGATCGTAAAAATTATAGGGCAATAAGTTTACTGAGTATACCAGGAAAAGTGTACGGTAGGGTTATTAC